TTTAGTAGGTATTATAGATTTAAATAGAGACCCCAAATTTCAGCATCAGCCGTTTTCAGCATCAGCTGCGACAATTATTATTAATGGATAGAATTAAAAACGGTAAAACAAATTCGCAAATCAAGAATATAAATACTTATTTATATTTTATTTCATTACTTAGTCTGTGAGTATAAAGAACATTATTAATGGATAAAATTAAAACCAGCAAAACAAGTTCACAAATCAAAATCATAACACTTATTTACACTTCATTCACATTAATTTAGTCGGTGAGTTCAAAGAAACTTTATTAATGGGTAGAATTTAAAAAAAAAAAACAGCAAAACAGTTCACTAACCAAAATATAAATGCTTATTTATTATTACAATTTCGTCCGTCTTAATTTAGTCGGTAAGCATAAAAATTACTTATATTCGATGTTAAGTTTAAAATATCATGGCTGATAAAATAAAACACTATATGTTATATTGATTATAAAGCCAACCTAAGTATGGAAATTGTGCACATTGTAATGAAGATAACACGAATAAAGCATGGTGTGTGTCATGTGACCCAGACAAAACAACAGCAAGGTGGACAAGTAGAAATAAGGATATTGATGATTGCATAAAAGAATTCCAACTTAGAACTCTTTCATATGAAGATGTAATTGAATGGATTCCATATGATAAATTATCTGATATTAAAGAAATTGGCGGCGGAGGATTTGGATATATATATAAAGCAACATGGTTGAATGGCATTCGAAAAATTGATGGTGATGAATATAATTACGTAAGAGCACATGAATCATCCAGCGTAGTTGCTCTCAAGGTATTAGCCAGTTCTAAGGAAGACAAATTTAAAGAAGTAAGTTAATTTATTACTTTTATAATTTTATCTAATAGATTATTGAACTAATTCATTGTTAAACTTTTAAGTTTAAAATTCTTATGAAATGTAAATTAAATAATTATAGCAAACTTGCAGTATATGGAATAACTCAAAATACAGATACAAAATTATACTTAATGGTATTTCAGTATGCTAATGAGGGGTCTCTTTATAAATATTTGAGAAAAAATTTTGGTAACCTTACATGGCAAACTAAATTGCAAATACTTAAAGATATTTCACAAGAGTTAGATAAGATTCACAGATTTGCAGGATACATTCATGCTGATTTTAATAGTAGTAACATTTTGATAGACCAACGCACTAATGAAAATGTACAATCTTATATTGCGGATTTTGGATTATCTAGAAAGAAAGATGAAATTTATTCAGACGACATTTATGGAGTCATGCCCTATGTTGCGCCTGAAGTTTTATCAGGCAAGCAGCAGTTTACACAAGAATCAGATATTTATGGTTTCGGTATTATTATGGCAGAAATGTCAACTGGACAAAGGCCTTTTGATGGTCGTGAATTTAATTCGAAGCTTGCAACCGAAATTTGCGAACTTGAATTGCGACCAAAGCTTGCACCTGAAACCCCTATATGCTATACCGAATTTGCCAAGAAGTGCATGGATTCTGATCCACAAAAAAGGCCTAGTGCGAAGAATATTTATGAGACAATAAAGAGTTGGCATGATAAGATGGCTAGTTCAAATGATGATGAAATTAAAAAGCAATTCTTAGATGCTGATAAAGCTATTAAAGAATTGCCGATACCAAAACATCCTGATGAAATGTACACTAGCAAACTTATCAGCACGAAATTAGTTTCAATGGCGATTGAAAAAGGTGTTTATTTTCAACTCATATATTAAAATTATATAGTATTAATTTATTTAAAAATAATGTTATTTGTTTATTTAGATTCGAGTCAATCTGATGCTGCACAAATTAACCTTGATATTACTAAATGTTGAGGAATGCACTGAGCCAGGTCGAGCCTTGGGCCCAAACCAAAGCCTAGAAAATATTCTTGAGCCCAAGCCCGGGATAGCAGGATTTATTTTTTTTAAGATTAAGCCCGGTGCTGTTTTTAAAATTTCGCTTTTCTTTATTTAGTTAGTTTTAACTTATTTTGTTGTTTTCTTTATGGACAAGGATCGCCATGGCGCAAGTATGGTTAAAAACTCTCAGTGAAGGATATAAGCTTTTAATAAGGGTGAAGAACCCTTTAGAGATCTATAATTGAGGAAGTAAAGTCCCAGTAGAAATTTAAATTATATTTGTGTTAAGTTTCATTTTACGAATGATATTATTTATTACTCAAAATATTTGTATTAAAATTCAATGTATTAGACTTATTGTATTAAAGAGAAACTTTCTGGCCCCAAATTTTTAAAGCTCTTTTATATTTGTATTAGACAAACTTTAATTTACCATCGTGTATTACCCGGAATGAAAGCATATGAGTGTGTGGTTTATATGATTTAAAAGTGGCATTAGTCTAACGATGCTGACGAATGGCGAAATAGTTTCGTCAGGCAATTTCGAATTGACGAATGACGAATATGGAACGCATGACGAAAACGCATAACGAATCATGAATTTAATATAAATGTAAAGAAAAAGTAAAAATGCGATTTTCTTTTAGAAATCATGCAAATTTAATTTTTTGTTCGATATCATTTTAGACAAATTGATCCGATATTACCCGATGATTTGAATTAATCACCTGGATGTATCCGATAGTAATAAATTAGCTTGTTAATTTTTGTGTCGTCAACATTTTATGTGACAGATGATGCTAATTTTGACTGACATTGATATTCACGTAACACATAATAACAAAATTTTGTTGTCATGTATAGCTGTCAAAATTATTTAAAATTTGTTTATATAGTGTTAGTATTTAGATTAGGATCGAAGTTAGCAAAGAAAATTTTTTTGTTAAGATTTGCTATTGGCCAATTTCCATCGATCATCACGTGAATAAAAACATCAGCCAAAATCGATTTAATAGAAAAAAAAAGCATCTGAATAGCACTTTAAAACATCTGAAGGTGGTAATTCTGGTGGACAATATGGGGTTATTCATACTAAAAAGGTCCATTTTGCAATATAAACAATTTTGAGATAATTGAGTTTAATCATTTGTTTTGATTTCCGGGATTAAGCAAATTTCACGATTTTGATTGGTTAAGAGTAAAAGGCGACTATAACTACCCCAACAGCACCCAGACGATTTCTGCTATCATTCAGATCTTGTGTAACATTCAATATAGATTGAATGATAAGCTGTTAGCGATTTACAGATTTAATCGTTAAGGCAATAGTTCCCTTATTTTAGGTAATAATGCATGATGTAAACCTTAAATTTTATAATTGTGACACTTGTTTCATTTTATTTATTTATTTATTTTACAAGCTAAAATTTTAATATGAAATTTTAATTTTCGCAACGATGAAGTTTAGATATGAATTAAGGTTTGAATTATAAATCGTATTTTCAAACTACAGATCGTGTTTCTAAACCGGTTCAATACTATAAAATAATAACTTTATTCTCCGTTAACCTTGATAACTTGTTCAAGACTTGTTCTTTCAATAATAATATTGTAAATTGAATCTTTCAATAATAATATTGTAAATTGAATTTTTAATTATTAAAGTAATATCGGGTAACTGATTATCTTATATTAACGTTAATGTTTGATTTTTAATTGGTTCTTTAGTAGTAATTGAACCAATTACTCACCTATCTTATACTTTTTAAATCCTACTATTCTTTTAGTGTAAAAGATAATTTTTATTCTTTTGTATCGAAATAACCATTTTATAACCTTGTCGTCTATTAATTAATATTTATGCTTTTTACAATAACACAATATAAATTTTATCGGAGTTTAAAAGAGAGAATCAATACATTTTACTCAAATATGATGTAATATTTACTTAAATATGATGTAATAATGTTTTCTTTTTTTGATTTCATTTCGATTGAAATTTTTTTTCTATCAAAAATGACTTTGCTTATGGATGAATGTACTAAATGTGGCCGAATACTTGAAAAATCAATGTTTTTAAGTCAATCTGGAAATAAATTAAAATCTTGTTCTATATGCCGCATTCAGTCTTCACGTATATATAAGATAAAAAGGCAAGAAATTATAAATAATCATAATGATCAAAACGATAATAACAACAAATAGTTCTTTTAGAAAATTTACCATCAAAACTATATGATGAAATTTGTGCTATCACTCCTAATGAATATATGGAAAATGATAATACGAAAATAGAATTTTCATGTTTATTGGAATTAGAAGCTACTGACGATCCTCATAAACTTTCTAAGAAAATAGCAGAACTTGTTGAACAAGGAGACGGATATAATTACATGTTTGTATGTAATATTAAAATAGACTATACTTATAGTACCGAATTAAATAATTTATGTCTTATTATTTATATAGTTATAAGGAAAGTTATGACTTAAAAAAGGTTCCTGGAAGTCATTCATTCTGGTATTATTGTTCCCAATGTCAAACACTTAAAAAAAAACCTCGAAAGCATAAAGATTTAGAAAAACAAAGAGATCGTGATAGTATGGAACGATTTGCATGTGAAGGCATACTCTTTATTTCTATTAATATGAATAGCAACTTTGCAAAAATTTGACTTAAACATAATTTTTTGCATAAATGACTGGAGAGATTTGAAGTTGATAATTTAGTTCAGAAAGAGATTAAAAAAAATTTACATTTAATACCAAGTGACATTTATAAACAGCTAGAACTAATTTATCTGGATCTTACACAAAAGCAAGTACATGCATGGTGGAATAAGTTTATTAAGGAAAAATATATTCGTGATAATAATCAATTAAATTCTATGAAAATTCTTCTTGACGAATATAAATATTTGAGCTTTATTTAGTAATTGGACAATTCGATGGGGCTGGATTCGCAATGGCTTACCTATTTATTAATAGTAAAAAGAAAGACAATGGAGCACATACAGATATTTTAAAATATTTTTTTCAACAACTTAAAACACTTGGAATGGATAATATTACCTTCTTTTTAACAGATAAAGACTTTGGTCAAATATCTGCTGCTCGATCAACTTGGCCAAATGTGAAAGTACAAATTTGTTTATGGCATTTAAAAAAAGCCATTAAAAAATAACTTTCTGACAATACATTACTAAAAACAATTACTTATAGCTCAAATGACACTCATAATGTGTTTAATTTTATTGACAAAGAATTTTATCCTTGCTTATTAAATTTATCAAAAAAAGAACAAAAAAATTTAACTTTATTTTTTGTTCAAAAGATTTACGGCCAGTTATTATTGAGACAATGAATAAACATTTCCATTTACATTCACTTATTCTGGATATTAATGGAAATTTTTTATTAGATCAACAAATTTGGGAGTCTTCTGTTTATGAAATATATCAGTTATGTGTCAATAATGATTTAAAACACTTGTGGGCCTACTTGTGAACTTACTGGTACCAAAAAAATATGTGGGTTCTTTGGGCACACTCATCAATTTCAACTGAAATTTGTATATTAGCACAACAATGCTTATTGAATCGCACTGAAAAGTAATTAAACGCGATTATTTACCCAAATTTTATTGTCCACGTATTGATCTTGTAATTTATATTATTGTCTCTCGACTTATTCCACACTGTTAAATACAATATCAAAAATATTTTAATAAAAGAGAAAAAGCTTCATGCCGAAAAAGTTTTAAATCTGAATGGCAAGCTCTTTGTAAAAAAAATATCAACAATACTTACTTTGTGGATACTAATCGATGGATATGCAATTGTTAATCTTTTTTATTAAGTCGATTCTTTATTTGTAAATATCTTATACAAGAATGTAAATTTAATACAAATTTGGAATTTTTTCATCAAGTTCAATGGCAAGGAAAATATCTATTTATTTTTTTAAAAGGTAATACTATATATATTTAATTATTAATAAATAAATTTAAGTTTAATTTCAATATAGTAGTAATTTATATTATAGCATCGCAGCCACAACCTTTTCAAGAAACTACAAATTTATTATTTAGAATTGAACAAGATAAAGAAAATCAACCGAATATAATGAATATTGAAAATATTAAAGAGTTGGAAAATTATAAAAATAGCGATGAAGATTTAGATGATTTATATCAAAACTATGAATTATATCTTACTAAAGCACTTAAAATTGTACAAGAGCAAAAGGCAATACAAAATTATAGATGGGCAAAATCTGTAAAAGGCAGTTTTGCAGGGTTACAAAAAATGGTAACAGATATTGAAACATATAAAAGAAGAACAACAAATCCTTGAACATGGAAAAATCATAATTGTTATACGATGTTTTTGCAGTAAAATCTTAAAATATAAAAGTAAATAATACTTTTATCTGTAATGTTGATATTGATAAAATACAATTAAATTGTATTTTATAATAATACAATAAATATGTTGCAAGCTTGCTATTAAGAAAAATAATTTAGTGTCAATAATTATATCATTATTATAATATATGTATATTAAATTGTGATATTAGTATATCAATATTAATTATTGTTATATAAGATCTGCATGATAGCAGAAATTGTCTGGGTGCTGTTGGGGTAGTTGGCGACTATCGGGTATCACGTGATATGCTTGGCCTTAGACAGCTTCGTGTAATTTTTCTTTATATTATCTCTATTTTTTATTATGCAATTCGCCTTTTGGATCTCCTTTAGTATAGGTGGCCAATATAGAAATATTATAAGATTATAATAAAAAAAAACTCTAACTCTAACTCTAGAGCTAACTATAAACTATATTATAACCCTTACCCTAACCCTAACTAATCTTAAATTTGCTTAAATTAGTTCAAATACTATGTTTATATATTAAAATCTTATAATATTTCTATAGTGGCTATCTCTACTAAAGATCAACCTGCCTTTCATTTATAATTTACATGAATCTAATAAAAATTCATTTTTTGAAAAATTTGCAAAATGGGCCTTTTTGGTATAAATAACTCTATATAATCTTGGACTTTGTTATCAATATGGCATAGAAACTGATAAGGATAAAAGAACACCTGAATAGTAAGTCAGAACACTTAAAGAATAGTTAACTCAGTGATCAACGATCATATGATAAACATATAATGATGTAATTTGTTTATTAGATAGTACCCAATTTGATATTAACCATAGCTACTGCAACAAATTTGGACTGGCAGATTCTCGATTTTGATTGGATAATAGCCGAGGATCTTTAAAATTTTGGTCCACATTACAAAATTGTTTACTGAATTCCGGCCAGAATTAACTTTTTAATTTTTTTCATTACAATAATAGAAATTCTTAAAAAAATAAGCCTGCATTATAGTAAAATTGACCCAAGAACAATTTTCACTTAATAGGCTGCTATGATTTAATTAGTAAAATTATGAGTAATTCCGGCCTAATTTTTTGATCATCACTTTTAGCTAATCAAAATCGAGAATCTGCTAGTTCAAATTGTTGTAGCAGCTATGGTTAATCAAGTAGATATACCTGCAATTACATAGTTGATAAATCGACAATGCATCCAAATCGGGTTACATTCTTGATGCATTTCTGTATTATGCATGATAGCTAGTGTGACAAATAATAAATCATATTTTTAGATTATTATTTATTAATGGGGGTACATTTTTTTTACTATTTAAAAAATGTTTCATCACATCAGTTATCTTGCATATTTTATATATTATATCCAAAGTTTATTTGCCGATTGATTGATTTATGTATAAATACAAAAAAAAAAGTGATTTTTTTTCTCATAATGTTGAACTACAAGAAAAAAATTATTGTTAATAATATTTTCTTATTAATAAAGTACATATAATTATTTTTGATGAAGTGTAATCTATTTATACTGTTATATTCTAAGTGAATTTTTTAGATGAAGTGTAATCTATTATACTATTATATATTAACTAAAAAAAAAAATTATAATAGCAAACTTGGAAAACCAGATAATTGTTAATGATGATAATATGGTTTCCATCCCTTTTGGGTATATAGCCGAATTATATATATTGCATCATCTCTTTTTAAAAAAACTTGCCTAAAGTCACAAAGCCATTTGTATATACTACAACTAATAAAGCAAGAATTAATTACACTTTGTCAAGTTGAAGAAGCAGCTGATTTTATTGAATGAGAAGCTACTAGAGTTAAAAAATCAACTAATCGAATTGATAATATTTTAAAACTTACTATCAAAGGGCATGAATATGTAAATGAAATTCAAACTGGAATTAAAAAGACAAATTATACTGGTTATGAATTATGGTTTGTTCAGATAATGAAAATAGTTGTCAGCATAAATGTGGAGGGATTGGAGAATGTTTATCTAGTTGTTCAAACTATGGTTTACATAACAATTTGCAGATTACCAAACAACTAAAGGAATCAAAGGAAAGTTATTAGCTTCATTCAACGGTGCCAGTGAAGAAGAACTGAACAATGCATTGCTAAATAGTCGCGGAATTTGCAGTAACACCAAGTTAAAACATTTTATTACTCATAAAGATAGATGCTTAAAGGATAATACAGGTCCATGGATGATTCTTCATTATTTAATAGAAGAGGAATTAATGTCAAAAGAATATATTTTATATTATCAGCAACCAGATTTATAAAGCCTAAAGATTCTTTGGAGCACTACAGTTTTAAATGAATTTTGGTTACAAAATGGTAGAAAATTTGAACAATATTATTTTGGAGTCGATGGTAAATATGATATCAATATTGATCATGCCCTGTATTAACTATGGTTATCAAAAATAATACTGGACATAGTGCTCCATTGGCTTTTGGTATATATACTTTTTTTTTTAAGTATTAAACACTAATTACTAATATTAATTTAAAGATAATTTAGAGTTAAGCAATACAGAAAATAACTGAACAATATGCTTAGCTGTAACAGCTATTACAAGAAATATACCTTGTACTGATCCTATGTGCGAATATCTATGGCATTATAATAAACTTCTAAATAAAAAAAGATTTCAGAGAATTTATAACTATATAAATATTGAGTTATAGAACCCAGTCACAATAATAGATAAACATTGGGTGACCAAATTGGGTGTCGAAGACATTATTTATAGAACAATACTTTGTTGGGTTCACATTATACAAATGTTTGGAGAAAATTTGAGACTATGGAATATTTCATATTCACTTAGGTTAGTTTTATAAAATTTATTATAATATAATATATATATTATATATTTTAAAATTATAAAATTTATTAATATTTATTTTAAGATAGCAAATAGCATTGGAGTTTAAATTTGTGGGTTGTATCAAGAATAATATATTTGAATAGCATCTCATTACAAAAGCTTTATTAATTCATTCTCAATTTCTCAAAATCAAATATCATTTCTTATTAAAGACTTGAAAAATAATTGGATATGTGATAAATAGCAAATGCAGTATATTAATGCTGGTTGTCTTCCTATTAGTTCTCAAAATCCAATGACTACTAATAATTATACAGAAAGAATGAACTGTACAATTGAATTACAATTAAGTAGAACTAAACAGTTGTTACTTTTGTTGAATGACTTTATAGAGTAAAGATATTATATAAAAATCTTTATTCTGGAGGAATGAATAAAAATGTTTATGAAGCTGGATTAGTCACACTTCTTAATGCGTAGTCAATTGAACAGGTAAATAAGTAAATACTTGCTTTTCAGACTATTACAATATATATAATTAATATTAAGTTTAATTACAGCAAAATGAACCTAGTATGAATTGATATTTCAATTACAGAAGACTTATTTTCTTATAGGTTTTGTCAAACTATCCAGTTATCAAATTATTTTTATATTAAAAAATATGGATCAACAATAATAATCGATTCTTTTAAGAATGAATTTATTGAATTAGAAAGTCAAATTGATTATTTCTAGCTAATGATAAAACAATTAACCAAGAGCTGTGAGGTTGAGCTCTGAAATAGTTTTTTATGTCATGAATATTATTACTAGTGAATGTTCATTATACCTAGACTATGTGTAGAATGGTCTGTTTTACAATATATGCAAATATTGTCATGCATACAAATTTTTTTACAAGGGAATTATTCTAATATTATACAAGAAGTAAAGAAAAAGGTGTAAATTATTTCAAAAATAAATAAAGAACAATTCTGGCTGACCAAAAAAATAATTTAATTTATAATAGATCTACAGAAGTTATATATCAAGAAATAATTCGCTTGTATGATTCTGAAAGTATATATTCTTTCTAATGCGATATTACAAACTTAGAAAAAAAAAATTAAATTGTTTGCTGCTACTATTCTAGATGTGTGTATCTTTTATCCAAAAAATTCAAATATTTGTAATAATCCATTCTGACTAGTGGAATTAAATCAACAATCAATAAATAATTGTATGCTTTCAAAATTATCTGCAAAACTGCATAAATTTAGCTGCATATTACGTGTAGTTCTTGACAATATAAATAATGAGATTTCACCTTCAGAAAAATGATGAATATTAGAAAGGCTAAGCATGGACCCAAGATAATTCTCTAATATGTCAAGATATTACCACTTGTTTTATATTCATATTAAAGGTTTTTTTTCTTAGAAAAAGCAAAAAGAAAATGTCTAATCATGCTCTAAAAAATCAAAATTATTAGTTGAAACCTTTGAAAATACTACTCAACAATTATCTGCTGAAGTATCGCAACAAGTTGTTATGCCTAATATTGAAAATCATACAATAGTTGGAACCAACCAATTTAAGTCTCAAGAATTTGCAAAAAAATTTTATATTGCATACCAACATGTTTTAGATATTCTTAAATATTAAGTATATAATTATATCAATAAACAACACTACTTTAATTTATAATATATTCAAAGTGTAATATCATGATTTAATTGATGATCTGCTACTTAACAGGTGCATGCTTTTAGTGTAATGTGACACAGTTTACTATGTAAATCTATTATAGTGCGAATGTGGCGATCGCCCAAGTAAACCTTTTTTTTTACTAAGTTAATCGATCTTATCGATTAATTGAAAATTGTAGAGCTCATCTTTGCGGTCCTAATAGTAGTTAAACCATCTAAATCAGCTCAGTAGATGCCGAGATATCTTTAAAAAATGTTTCTTTTACTATGTAAACTTCTTTGCAAACAATACTATTTTTTGCAAAGAAGTTTACATAGTAAAAGAAACATTTTTTAAAGATATCTCGGTATCTATATGCTGATTTGAATGATTTAACCACCATTAGAACTGCAAAGATGAGCTCTAC